GTAACCCGTTTTCTGTCAATCGAAGAGTTAAAGAAAATTCGCTGAAGGAATTGAAAAGTATTGAAGGTTGGAATAATTGTATATATAGTGTATTATATCTAGTGGAGATTACTTTGAAGGCGACAAAATAAATATTAATAAATTAGTAAATATTTGGCGTTTTAATTACAAATTCCGGGTACCTTTTGTCACAATGTAAGTGCATAATATCGAATGGGGACTATTGTGAAGGCGTCAACATTAATGTAGACGAATGAATACATTTTTTTGTCAAAAAATTATTTATATATTGTATCACTATATATTACCAGTTTCTTAAGTTTTGGTCACCAATGTATACATGTATATATGTATGTAAATACGTAAACTCCACTCTCTTCATTTAGCCAAGTGTATTACGTTTATTCTTTCTACGTATTTGTGCAGAGCAATTACACTTTTGCCCTGCTATTATGAAGATATTCATTCATAAAACACTTCGTTGCGCCTGGCTTAATTTGGAATAGTCGTATTTTATTTACTTTAACCTCAAACGGTGTTGAATTTCAGCGTTTGTTTAATAGATGAGAGAACCTTAGTTCATATCGTCTGGAAATACGAGGGTGGGTTCTAGAAAATGCAGCTTTGGTTGGTAAAAAAATTGTACGGAATCAACTATTCTTGCTGTACAAATGTGTATTTAATTGGTTTATATAAAAATAAAGTGAAAAAATATATATATGAAATTTAAAGTCTTAATGATTAGTTGAGTTATATGAATATTTTTCCATTCCAAACTCGAAAAAAATGTTTTTTTTTCATTGCATTTAAATAACCGACATCTTAATCTAACCAAAGTCGATTTAAGCTCTTAAAAGAAAACCATTAATGTCTATTTGCAACATATGTGTATATACACTTATTAATACATACATATTACATATCATATTACTGCAACTCTTTAATAGTGCAACATGGCTATAACATTTTTCATTCACTAATCTTCACTAGCCGTTTTCTTTTGTTTCGTTTTGCGAGCAGGTTCCGTCTGCCAATTGTTTAACAGCCGCCAAGTGCGTTGACCACAAAGCTATACTGTGACACGAGAGACACAAAAACGCATTTTTGCATAGCGACACACCYGCCTCTCCGTCTACGCACGYGTACAAACTAGGCGGTCTCTGCGAAGTCCGGYTTAATTGCTGCGCTCAAATGCAAATGTGTCGTTGAAGTGGCAGCAACAACGTGCCAAAATAGGACAACTTCAAGTAGCGATCAAGCGTTTGGCATTCACAACAACAGCATGTTGCAGAATCCTTCGAAATTTCACCCGAATCCGTTCTCCCACTTATTGGCRTTGCATAGTTCTCAGGCTGTGGCAAATAGCAAYATCAGCACTCATCAAGCGAATTTGGCTRCGCTGCCGCCGGTCTTCGCGACGCAAAGCCAACTTCAGYTYCAACATCAGCAACAGCAGCTRCAGCAGCAACAGCAACAACAGCAACACTATCATAACATTCACTCAACAATGACGGGCACTAATCAACAGCACAACAATGCATTTCTGCTGCGAAACCATCCACCGCGTGAATCACAGCAACAGCAACAGCAACAACAACAACACACAAACCACCCACTGCTAAATCCAACGCAAACACGTACTCAAGAGATATTGGACACGACGAATACCTCCCTCGATATGGGCAAGTCATTCACGATTGCCGCCATTTTGGGCTTGCAGAAGAGCGCTATGGAGAACAGTTGCAAAGACTACAACAATGCAATCAATTTGTCGCTGAACAGCAATGACGATGACGTCGGCAAAGARTCTAGCCTTGGACGATCGGCGCAAAGCACTCAAAGTAATAAACATTTCAGCGATGATGAGGTGGACAATAGCGAGCAACAATCACCGCATTTGCAAACGTCCAATGGCGCAGACAATGCCATCAAGTCGCTTCAACAGTGYGACAGGAATACCAATAATATGTTTCATCGAAACGGCGGCCATTTCGATTGCAATGGCAATGTTGGCGCAGCGCTGATACACCGTTATTTGCCTATTCCAGTCTCGTCTAAGCAAACAACGGCAGCGACATCGTCATTTGTTGCGGCAGCGGCGGCAGTAACGCAACACCATCATCAGCAACAACAGCAGCAGCAACAAAATCTTTTAATGTCGCATGTCCGTTCGGTGGCATCAGCCGCTGCCGCAGCATCAGGTGGCACATCGTCTGCGCTTCAGAGCCTGCAACAGCTGCATCAACATCACGCTCAGCAAAGCTCACTGAACCTACAACGTGAAAAGCATAAATCAGGTAAATGGAGTTAGTTTTTTATCTGAGTTGGTTTYGWTTAAAAAAAGTTATTATATTGTTGGGTCGTGAAATCCTGGACGAAGGAGTATATTCCCATTAAGCTTTGAGGTTTAATATTTGTGACCTGGTCTACGAAAAGGGAGCTAACTTGCGARAAAAAGTTTTCTAGGWAACAGCTGTTAAAAATCTCATCTTCCATCCGAATCAACTAAAAAGTGAAAATAGATTTTTTGGATTTTTTGACACCTAAGCCCCCTTTCCGTAGACAGGTCACATTTATATCTCCTAAATCACTTAAGTTGCAATAACAAAATTCATTCAGAAAAGCCGTAGTGAAAATTTCAAAATTGGTGAAATCACATATCTTGGGAACCCGACCAATCGATTTCAATAAAATTTGCAAATCAAGAAGCAATTAATAGTGCCTTTGAAGTATACAATCTTCTCTGATAATATAAGGTCATCCACAAAGGGGTTTACTCTTTTTTTTTTTATAGAAAAAACACATAAACTTAAAATTTAATGGGGAATGTTTATTATCATTCGAAAGAACATTATTTAGAATTTTCTTTTTGAATATTATCTCTTTCAATTGTTGGCCACGACTACGTCTCAGRTGGTCCATCATTTGAGCCCAATTTTCGATGACTCGTTCGAGGTTGATAACTGGCGAATAACACGCGTTCCCACAGAAAAAAGTCTAACGGTGTGATATCAAAACAGGCCAAACACGTGAAATTATCTGTTCACCGAAGTGACCTGTCAMTAAATCCATTGATTAATGCAATGTGTAGTATTGTTAACTCCAAATGTTGCGAGCTTCAATTTTAGGCATCAAATAGTCGATTATCAATCGCGAAAACGGTTGCCATTGATGGTTACRTTCACACCGGCATCATATTTGAAGAAATATGGACCGATAATTCCACCGGTTCATAAACTATACAAAACCGTTTATTTTTTGGATAAAATGGCAGTTCTTGGTTCTCTTCAGATTGCTCTTCGTTCCAAACACGCAAGTTTGCTTGTTTACATACCTATTTTTGGAATTTACCGAGTTCTTGCAAAATCTGTATTTTGTACGCTTTCAATTTAAGATCTGATGTAAAATGCGCTAAATCTTTGCATATGCCAGTCCGAGTAGCTGCGAACGGCGCCAAATCGACTCTCCCCGGTCCTCGTGTACACTCTCAGCTACGGCTGCAATATTTTTTTAACTGCGTGCTAGACATTGGTGGAATATTATCCAATAATGAATGCTGGGTGATGGTAGTGCGAATAGGACGCTTATTAGGCCGATTATGATGACCATAAGTTGAGTGAAGAGCGCGAAACACATTCTTTACTCTTCTTTACTAATGTGAATTTTCGTAATAAAGTTGAAGGATTTGTACACGTTGTTAATATGTAAGGCTTTCCAAGATGAAATGCCAAACAATACTGAACAAAAATAAAATGACAGTTTGATAAGACTAACGAGTGATCTGTCGAAGAAAAGCCCATTGAAAAGAGTACCTTTATCAGGTTCAACCATTCGTATGTCTGTGCGTCAAAAATGGCTTCAATCGGACCAATACTTCCCTAAGCGCTAATATGATGAATCTTTGACTTTTTGAAATTTCGATTCGATCCTTAATATGGACTGCTACAGCTTTGATTTAAGAGACATTGACGTATATTTGAAGAATTATTCTTATAATTTGAACTATTCTATTTATTGTTCACTGATATTAGTAGCTCTTCCACTAGTAAAGTTATATTGAATTCAGTTGCGGTTTTCAGAAAGTTGAAAAATAGTCATTATGCTAGTTAGGTATGGTTGCTATATACGAAATAGGTATTTATAGTTGGCGGATAGTATTCACCCATTTCTATGCTAGATACATACTACCTTATCTTATTTTATGAAGGATATATACGCTATAAAATCAACCGCAAGTGTAAACTTCATATTAGCTATATGTATATGGGCTAGAGTTATTATTAGCTAAATTTTATCTACAGGGACAATAGGTTATTAGAGAGTGTTCCCTTCAATGTCTTAAGATATCTAACAAACGAGATTTATATTAACTGCTATATACGGCATAAACTCAACCAGAAGTTCGAAAATCTTTCTATAAGGTATATGTGGGCTATGGGAATTATTGAACCGATGTTATCCGTTTTAGACATAACGATATATTATTTCCTGGAAAAGATGCTTTATGGTTTTTATTAAGTAAAAAGTTTGACATAGGTACTAAAGTTCGCTTTATGGGTATCTAAGTTTGAGAACTTTYCTAACATGGGCGTGACACCGCCCATTGCTAAAGTTTTACACCGCTTTTGACACTCTCAAGTRTCATCTTAGGTCTGAAACTGTATGCTTTGGACGTATTTATCTAGCGAGTTATCACATTTTCTGGCTGGTTAGACTTAACTGTTATATGAGGAGTGGGTGTGGTTATATGCCTAAGATAAAATAAATCAAGTAAGAAAGAACTAAGTTATAGTATAACCGAACATTTTACACTCTCGCAATTATYTAATATTTGGGTAACCAAATTGTAATTTCTTGTAAGAAATTTGGTTGAAATCGRTTAGGTTGTTCCTGAAATATAGGAKTTCATCTAAAGGGAGCGGTGCTACGTCCATTGTTCAATTTTTATACCTGCTTCAATAAAGCCCTTCCGAACCATTATTTTTGTGAAATTAAATGTTTCAAGGGCATTTATTCATTGAGTTATCGGATTTTTAGTAGATTTCAAGATAATCGTTATTTCGTGAGTGGGCGTGGTATTATCTGAAATTACCAATTTCATGAAGTGTTAAGAGATGCTAAGGAGACTTGTTGTCAGAAAGTTTGGTTGATTTAGCCTTACATGTTTGAAAAAAAAAAACGTTTATTAAGAGGCTGTACCAGAGTGACGCATGAAAAATGAGGCGATTTTCATGAATTTTTTTCATTTTGAAAAATTACTTACTGGCTGATTCCGGCCAAATGAGTAGTTGAAGAAAAAAATTATAAAAAGTTTATTAAACTTAAAGATATTTCCTATACAATGACCTACGATCTTTGAAAAATATTAAAAATTAACAAAATGGCGCCATTTAAAAAAAAATCGTTTTTTTTTTAGGTAAAAAAAGATCGTAAGGCATTGAATAGTAAATGTATTCAGAAATACTCAGTTTCAATTTTAAGTCCATCGGTCATTTCTCGTTGAGTTATGACGCCAGCAATTTTGAAAAAAGTTGTTTCGAGAAAAACGCGTTTAAATTTTCACTTATATATAATTGCACCTCCGAGCGGTCGCTCTTTAGAACGCTGGCATCCATAAATTATTCATAATATGACCTTCCCGATTTCACAGAATATTTATGAAAATGTAAGCTATCGAAAAAGCAAATAAAAAAATTTTTTTTTGAAAGTGTCACACTATAGCCTTTTAAAGGGGTGCCACGCCCATTGCTTACAATTTTAGCTCAAAGGGATCCCATGCTACGGTGATCTCTGGTACCAAATTACAGTTTTGTACCTTAAACAAGTACTTTCATATGACATTAAGAAATCTGAATTTTTACTCCAGTTATCGGTTGCACAGACGGTTGGACGGAACACAGTTACTTGGATTTAAACTCGTGTTACCATTATGATCATAATACCCTGTACCTTTTTCATTGGGGGTATTGTTTACGTGGAAAGTCCCAAACACAGTTCACAACCATGAGGAGGGATGTTTCGCCTTCGCACTTTAACTAGTCTTCAAACGGATATTTTTGGCTACCTAGAGAATACTTGTTCTAATGCTGGAAGTCGTGAGATTCTTAAGGCATATTCCAAGTGAATGGCGCTCTGAGAACTTTCCTACACATAGCTCCATTTTTTTAGTTCTGCTTTCTCCAGGTTGGGCAAGAACCGGAGCAAAGGGGTCTGGTAGTGAACGCGGCCAAGACAAAATATCTCCTGTCATTAAACAAACCGTCGTCGCACTCAAGACTGAGCTCCCACGTCACTGGCAACTCGGTCTTACGAGTTGGCGAGAGACACGTTCTGAGGAAGAATTTGCGCGTTGGCAAAGGTGAATACCGCATTCGATGGAACGATGAGCTGTACGAGATATACGACGATATTGACATAGCTCAGCAAATCAATAGACAGCGGCTACGCTGATGAGGTCATCCCATCCGAATTTATGAAAACCCTCCAGCTCTGAGAGTATTCTGCGCAGTACCCGCAGTAGAAGAAATGAGAGGAAGATCTTCACTCCGTTCTCCAGGTGGAGAAGGACCTGGCTATACTTAGAATATCCAATTGGCGCCAAGCAGCGAAAAAGAAGAACGACTGTACGCGCTGTAGTAAACTCGGCTATAATCGCGTAAGCGGTATCGACGCCAATAAAGAAGAAGGGGAACCCTGTATCTATGTCGAACAACCGATAGGTGAACAAAACTACTATACTCTCTGCTGAAACATGTTGCTAGACCATAAATAAATTGTCCTTGTACTTAAATTTGTTTAGAGGCGGGCCACGCTAACATTTTGAAAATTCTAAGCACTCGTATGTCCCTTAATATTTTCAAATCCGACTTTATTTTTACATATTCATAAAAACTGATCACTTTTAATAAAGATATCTTACCACTTTTTCGTTATAATTGCAGAGAGTAATGGAAAAAAATCTTCTATGAAGAACAAGCGTGTTCGCACTATATTCACGCCCGAACAGTTAGAGCGATTAGAAGCTGAATTCGAGCGGCAACAGTATATGGTCGGTCCGGAGCGACTTTATCTAGCACACACTCTACAGCTAACAGAAGCACAGGTGAAGGTGTGGTTTCAGAATAGACGCATCAAGTGGCGAAAACATCATTTGGAAATCACACAACAACGACTCGCTCTCCTACGTCAAACACAATTGCCGAGTACAGCGGAGAACTTGAGTGCTGGTATTGCTGTAGGGACGCCTATATTGACCAATAGGGGCATGCCGAATGCCAACACAATGAATTTAAACAACGATGCACGAACTTCATCGCCGATTAGTTGTGGTGTTGAAGATGCCGATGAGCTTAGTAAACAAGGCGAGGAGTTTCATTCTTTGAGTCGTGGCAGTCATTCAAGTTCGGAATCCGATCTCTCTATATGTAATGATTCCATTGATGCCGGTAGTGCGGTGGAAGGTATAGAGGATACATAAGACATGTGACTTGGCACACGTTGGAGGCTGTACATATTAACTATTAAATACTGAATTATCCGAATAGTCTAGAACGCAAAATATGTATGTATTTAAAGATATGCGAAAATGTAGTGAAACTGTTGTGTTGTTTTGTTTTTCTAAAACATTTTCGAATGCACATTGAATAAATAAACATATATTTTGTAAATAAAGTGATTTAATACAAGCGAAATATACTTAAACAAATTAATTATAATGAATGTATGATATTAAAATATTTGTGGAATTATAAAATAGAATGACATAATGAAAGTAAACAGATATTAAATATAATATTATTCACATAATAATTGCAAAATTGGTATTTGTAAAATAGCACGATGCGACGCATTCTACATTTGGATCACATATGAATAATCTCGTGAGGATACTGTTAAATAATTTGGTGAATTTTGGCTTTTGTATAACTACTGTTACAGGACGCAGGGTGCTTCAGACAAGTGATAGATGAGTAGTTCACATATATACATACATATAGACGAATATACAGACACACGAATATGGCTAAATCGATTCAGTTTGTTACTCTGATCATTTATATATTTAWTTTATATGATTTCCAACGTTTCCCTCTGATTGTTACAGACATTGTAATAGACTTATGGTTTGAATATTATGGGTTATCAGTTCTAGTATGAGTTACTTGGGAGAAGACGAAGTAATATCATTTTAACACCTCCTTCTTGATTGTCAAGCATTTGCGAAATTAAGTTTAAAAAGAAAGGAAGAGATAAAGGGAAAAGTTTGAATACAACGAACATGTTATACTTTTTCAATTTGCAAAGGATTCAAGTGAGGAAAGTACCTTCAAGTACATAAGGTTTGTTAGTTATATGGAGTCTAGGATGAGTTTTCACACGATTTTATTCATTTTAAGCACAAGTATGCAACGTTAKAGGGAAACACGTTCTCTCTTTTTTMTTGAGCTAACTCACATATTATGRTGGGTTCCAGATTATTGGTCGATGTTTAATATTCAACTAGATGAGAACTTCTGGATTCACAATGAACTATCTTTAACAATATAAATCACTTCTAAACAAAAAGACTTATTCTGAAGGACAATAGTTTATAAGGAAACTCATAGTAAGTTTTGTTTAGGTAAATCATATAGTAGACATCACATTTGTGTTTTGCATTTAGAAAAAWATTGTTTCGGTACTAGAGCAGGTTTAAGGAGTATCTCTGAACTTCGGTTCGACAGGTTCAGTTCAATACCGGCTTGGAATTTATTAATACAATATACATATGTACATATATAACAGAATTTAAAATATTTTGAGAAAGAATTTCTCCTTAATAATTTCAATATGTGCTATTTTCCAAAAACTAGTCCACAAAATTTGGTGGGAACAGTGTGTTGTTTTATAGTTTGGCTTTGTACTTCTAAGCACTCTGAAAGGCCTTTTCAAATTTGCGTGTAGCTTCGAAAATATTCATCGGAATTTTCTGTGTGTATTACTAAATATATGTACATTAAGAAAATGAAATAAAAAAATTCATTTTTTGAAAATTCTAATTGTATATAACACTCTAAAACTTGAAGCCACATATTAATCATATCATTTTTTTCTTATACAAGTTGTAAAGTTGGGTGTTGCTCGAACCGGGATTACTAATATCAATTTACCAAAGAAGCCATCGCATACAAGCATGAGGATGAGAACAATCGTTTGATCGAAGTTAGTTGCTATTTAAACATTAAGATGAATAGAAATTATGAATAATACTATGATAGGTGTCTTGATTTGCTAGAATTTAAATTGTACAGACTTTGCGCAATTTCCATAAAAGTAGTGATTTGCGCTAGTTAAAAAAATATGTTAACTAAATATATATTTTCCAATAGTTTCGTCGCTTATTAGTAAAAACTGCGTTGTGCGACTTTTTGATAAGTTAATGGCTTACAATTTGAACCGTCCGGATAGGGTTACTTTTGACACTTTCACAGTCCGGTTTTCCGTGATGTGTAAGAACGGTGCTCGAAATAGCAAAAATAACTTCTGTTTTAAAAAATTTCGCAATTATTAAAGAAACTAGAAAATATTTGCATCAATAAGTATAGACTAATTTAAAAAAAGATGTTATGTTYTATTACTTTTAATCCGGATGGGTATGTGAAATCTGCTAACATGATACAGCAGTTTTGTTAAACGTACATAAGCGGTGTTGTAGCTTGGTAGGTGAATTTACTAAGRGTGCAAATAGAATGCATTTCCGTTGTTTGTTTGAACAGCTTTTTAACTAATTAMGCTAGTAAGAAAGCTTTAAGCATACGCCTTGAATACTATAAATTGCTATAAAAGTTGTTGCTCAAAAAGGTTTTATATTTCATACTGAAWTTCCCTGCGGAAAAATATTTAGGATTTCTGGGAAAATATACCTAAAATAATAATTTATTATAGAATACCACTTTCTATAATAAGAAAATATTGGGGGACTTATTGAAAGTCTGTCAATGCTACTGTAATTGTGGTTGCTGGCCTAGAAAACTTTGATTATTTCCGGAGTATAAAGTATGCGGATAATGCAGTGGTTGTAATGTTCGTTTAACAAATATACACATATATAATTTTTGTACAGATGCCAAAAACCTTACGAGTACGAAGTACATATAGACGAAAAAAAAATACCTCGCCTCATAATATAGACTGCATAAAGACAGTGTGTTTAATATTATATTTGTTCTCTCGCAAAATACAACGTGGTATTAACTGTATATGGTAAGTTTATATGTATATGCATGATATATATAAAAACAAGAAAAAACATTAACTTCGGTTGCA